GTTCACCAATGATTGGGCTTTTGTAAGATATCATTATGAAAACATTTCGTTTTTCCACAGTTCCCGTTTTACAAATTCCTATTCCATGCCAGCACTTAGACCCCAGGACCCCGCCAACCGCGATGGTTACGCGACAGTTTGCGAATGGCTGCGGTATCGAAAAGTACCAGCTGGGTTGATTACTGCTTCAAAATCATCATCATTGGCGATTACAGAGTTGGAAAAACGTCTCTGCTATGCAAGTACACTGGTCGTGAATATCGCACACCAAGTTCCACCATTAGCGTGGATTTTCGCGTGAAAACTCTACAGAGAAACGAGAGAAGAATCAAACTTCAAATATGGGATATTGCCGGACAGGAGCGATTTCGTACCGCAGTAGCTGGTTATTATCGGGGAGCCTTGGGTGTCATCCTGGTGTATGATGTCACAAATAGACAGTCTTTTCAGAATATTGGATACTGGTAAGCTGAACGTAATGAAAGATGAAACGAGCTCACAAATTTGTTTAAGCTTAAGTGCAAGTCTGTCACAAGTGAGTCACGGGTGAAGAAGTTTCGAATCCTGCTAGTTTTAGTTTCGAACTGATGATCAGTGGCGTTTAACCGCTCGTGTTTCCGTGAAACTCTGAAATGTTCCGCGGAGAAAGTTTAATGCTAAAATTTCCCGTCTTTACCTGGGTTAGTCATCCATCCATTCATTGTCAATGACACTTGTGTTAACAGTTATAAAGCCGGATGTGGCTATTTCAGTGGTTTAACTCTAAAAACCTCCTCCTTATTTACTTTCGATGATAATAGAATACAGTGCACTCTTTTCATAATAGTTTTGATAAGCATTTGTCATGTTTTAATGGTCTCCAGAGACCATTAAAATAAATTTATGATTGAGTTTTCTGCATGTCAAAGGTGTCAAAGACGTCTGAGTGGTTTGGTGAAAGAGATTGATTCAATTAAGACACTAGACAGGGTTTCTTTTAACCGTGAATGCAGAGACGCACTGGGAAATCAATTCATGATTGAGCATCCACCTTTATGCATGATTAGTTTTTAATGAGTAATAATCAAACACCAATGGCTCCATCAGTTCCAAGCTCTGAACGTTTGTCATATTTATTTTGAAAAAATGTTGCAAATGCCCCACTGTGGGGCTATCGTATTTGTACAAATCCCCACTGTGGAGCTTCAGGCCTGGTGGAGCTTGTGGGACAAAGTAAGATGGGGGGTCTGGTGGGAATCATTGGGGGTCATGCAAAAAATATTGCTTCAAAGGTCAGGCAGCAGCTGAAAATATATAATACAAAATTAATTTTCATGACTTACCCCACCTCCCCAATCAGAAGGGTGGGGAGTTTCAACTCAAAAACTCAAAAATCTTATCACAAATTAAGCTTGTTGTCCTGATTCTTGGAAATGCATGTTTTACGTAGTACAGGTATACTTCAAATCACAGTTCTCATAATGGTTTTTCACACTTCATGGACCACAAAAATGTTCATTCATGGAGTGAAGAGATAACCTTGCACATCCTTTAGGAATTTCTGAAGACCTTTCTTGGGGTGGGCATAGTAAAACCACCCATTGACAAGAATCCTTTATTGCACTTCACGTTTGCAGGCATGAAGAAATGAGGAAATTCTGTGAAACACATGCTAAAGGAATCCTTATAGGTAACAGATGTCACTTGTCACATTTAAGAGAAGTACAACCAGAGGAAGGGAAAAATCTTGCAGAACACCTTCAGATGCCTTTCTATGAAACTAGTACAGAGAAAAACATCAATATAAATGAATGCTTTGATGAGCTAGTGGATAGTCTTCTTGAGGAAATAGAAAGAGGGCAGCAGATGAAAGAGTTAAATACGCTACTGCTTCCAGCAAGTGGTCAAGAAGACAGGGCTGTAGAGGCATGTTCATGTAAATTGCTGTGACTGAATAATTATGAAGATTGTACATAATTATTTTTGTATTTGGTTAAGGAAATTTAAGGGTTAACAGTCAAGGAATATAATGTACTAGTAATTATCTAACATAAATAATTGTGTTAATAGTCTCGGTGTAATGCTCAGTACAGGGCTCTGTATTGACTCCTCAGCAGGATCTCTGTATATTCTATCCAAACATGGTTTCAATATTAGAAAGATAATCCGAGGGCTCCCAGGGACAATTGCTTAAATTGTCCAGCAAGTACAAGGGTCAATCATTTCTTCAATTCATTTCTCAACTGCACTTCATAAAAACATTTCTTTCATTCATCATTCCTTTGTTTCACGGGAACATATTAGTCCAACAAACTGATCTGCTCTCAACTGCGTGGTTTCATAGCTCAGTTGGTAAGAGCACTGCACTAGCATCGCAGAGGTCATGGGTTTGAATCCCATTGAAGTCACTTTAATTTTTCAGGTAAATACACAGAACAATTGCTTAAATTGTCCAGCAAGTGTGGGGATCAATCATTTCTGCAATTCATTTCTCAACTGCACTTCACAAAAACATTTCTTTCATTCATCATTCCTTTCATGGGAAAACATGGGTCCAACAAACTGACCTGCTCTTGACTAGTAAGTTAAGTTTTTATTTAACGAGAGAAACACAAAATAGTATGTACATAGTAATAGACTACTGGCCCTCTTACAGGATAATAAATATACTAGAATTAAGATTTGCAGGGATTAAAGTTACTAAAAATCTATAAAACTATGTACAACTATGTACAACTATGTAGCTTCATAGCCCAGTTCGTAAAAGCACTACACTGGCATCACAGAGGTCATGGGTTAGAATCCTGTTGAAGTCACCTGAATTTTTCAGGTGAATATACAGGACAATTGCTTAAATTGTCCAGCAACTGCGAGGATCAATCATTTCTTCAATTCAGTATTTCCAACAAGATTGCTTAACTGTTTATACAAAATTAGCTGAATCAATTGTGAAGTGTCTGTGCTATCTCATAATCAACAACTTAACCAACTTCGTTTCTTCTCTGACCTATCCCAGAGTCTTATATTTTAGGTGGTGATGGCGACCCATAGAATAGCCTCGTTTATCACCAGGTAACCTTCATCTTTCACTGTGTAAAGGAGGGTGTGAGTATGAGTAACAAGGTCACAAGGTAACAGAGTAACCAGGGTAACAAGGTAACAGAGTAACAAGGTAAACAGGGTAACTAGGTAGAAAGGTAACGGAGTAACAAGGTTATGAGATAACTAGGTAACAGAATAATGAGGTAAAAGGGTAGCAAGGCAACAGAGTAACAAGGTAACATCGCAACAACATAACAAAGTAACACGGCAACAAGATGACATGGAAACAAGATAACAAAGCAACAGGGTTACAAGGTAACGGGAAAACATGGTTGCAAAGTAATAAGGAAACGGATGCACAGCGTCCGCACTCTGGACATTGTGCAGAGCATTGTTTAGGTTGGAAGGGTTGATTATGTTGCTGCTTGCTTGCCTTGCTAGCTCCAAAGCAAGAAAAATACTTCACTCCCTATAGATTTGTAGGATCAATTGCTGCAGCTGGGCAAACCACCTTATGTAATTTTGTAAATAGATTTACCTTAATTTGAAACATTTACCGCTGTCATGAAAACCATGCTACATAACTTAGTTCAGTTCCGCAAATTATGCGAAACTTTGGATAAAAGTAAAAAAATAAAAATTTGAAAAGGAAGATGAGAGGAAACAATCACTTCCGGTTGTTGTGGCTAAAGAACGTGTCATGCTTAACTGCTATTAGTTAAATTATTCTGGAGGTGTTCCAACTTAACCGCCACCCTAAGGCACCATCAGTCATTTTCATGTGCATCACCATGTTGTTATTAAGTTGTATCTGTTACCTCCATTCTGATCTAATCTGTAATCTATTTAGAAAATTAGTTAACTTTGCTGGGCAGGATACTTAATTGCACACAAGGATCACAACAAGTGACAACTAAGGCAGGACGAGGGTGTATTTAAAAGGTCGCGTTCATCTACACTTTGTTTGCATTCTGGGAGTATGTTCTAATCTTCTGACTTACTCTTGTGCATTTCTCAAAAGACCCAAAAACTACTCCAGGCCCAAAAACTATCCCACTACAGAGCCCCACCACCACCCCTAAAAAAAAAAAGAAAAAACAGTTCTGGGAATTATATGCTGCAGGTTGCTGCTCAGTATTTGGTGGATAAATGGGAAAATTTATGCCCTGATCATGTCAACATTTACTATACTGCTTGTTTAGATGACCATGAACAATTTTCAGGCCACATGAAATGCTTAGTGGAGGGACCTTTGAAATGACATGTTGTGTGAATACTTGACATGACTTCAATCGCAGCACAAGTGGAACTATTGGCAGTCCTCTAATGCATGTCTCATTGAAAAGACACCATGCTTTTGTGAGTGACAACCAAAAGCAGGCTTTTACTCTATTTCCAACCAAATATGTGAGGAAATTTTTCTCTTTGAAATCCAGACAAGGGATGTGCCAAACCCCCTAACTGAGATTCTAAATAGGACAGACATAATTGTTCATCCTCTTGCAAGTTCATAAAAGAATAATCTAACATAATCAGAGCTATACATAAAACCTACTGTACTAATAAAAACATTTTTGTTCAAATGGAAAAAGGTGATTATAAACTATTTTGTTGAACTAATTTTAATTAGTGCTTGATGAAGGACATTTTAACCTTGGAAAATAGTTTTGGGAAAAGTTGAGAAAAGTGCACCTCACTATTACTGCATGAACACCCACTGCTTTTTTTAGTGGGACTGGAGAATTCCTTTTAGCATTTTAACAAACAGCTTTCTTAAGTACTCAACATCTTCCTCTGTCTCATCAGAATCTTGGGATTCATCATCATCTGCTGTGGGCAGGGGCTCAAATTCTGCTCCTGACTTAAACACCAGCTCGTGTTGTCCCCAGTCATAGGCCTTGTTGAGTAAGTTGCAGCTGGGTATAAAAAAAGATGACAGCCTTTTCTCTGCAAGGCAATCTTCAATGTAGTCATAAATAAGTTTTGCCCAAACAATGGCTTGATCCTGAGAGTTGTTCTGAAGATCCACACCAAGTTCTCTGTTACAAGACTTGTTCACCAATGAAAACAGTGCATTTTTTAGGAAATAAGAGGTAATGATTTTATCTGCATGGATATCATTATCCACAGGTTCAATTAACTCAGCTTCAACCTCTTCTCCCTCTTCACTCTCTGGGATGCACTGCCACTCTTTTCTAGACAAGCCCTCTTCAGGACAATCTATCACTTCGTCATTTTCAGTCAAACATTCCATTTGCGGTTCAGAAAATGTGTCTGTAGATGTCTGCACCTTTGTTTTGGGTGCAATTTGTGGACATACAGATGGATTCCTGATTGCCTTTGCAAGAATGTAACCCCGGCAAACTTGCTCTGGGAGGGACTTGAACATCTCAGTTTCAGCAAGAGAAAATGAAAGGCGAAAGTGCTTTTCTTGGCTTTCAAAAAACTTGTCATTGTGCAGAGCAAACACAACATGTATTCCATTTTCTTTCATCTTTGGTGTTAAAAGTGCTGTCTTAGAGACATTTGGTGGCCAGAAATTGGGGAAAAAAAGTGCTGGGACAAGATCTACAGAAATGAGCATATCTTTGAAGAAGTGTCCATGCCACCTGATGCGCATTGTGGTTGCATTTGCACTCTTTACACACAAACTTACTGGTGAAAGTGCTGGCACGTCTTCCCAAATGTCCTTTTCTAAAAAGGCACTATTAAGTGCCTCTGTGAAATCCTCCATCAATTTTGCAGATCGCAAACTTTTGTCTTTGTCCACATACTGTGAAACTTCATGGTTGGGGAGACAAATCCTAGGTTTGAGTTGCAGTTGGCCAAACATTGGAGGACTGGAATCCACTACTGGATCCAAAAAAAGATTTGATAGTTCCACCATTGTACACAGGAGATCAAACTCATTTGGGAACCCACACTTAGTTCCCTCACTTAAACTACCAGAGAGTCTAGGCTCAAAAGAAAAAAGTGGGCAGTTTTTGTTTACTTTCATGGATACCTGTTCAATAAGTTGGTTCACAGCTTCTTCAACTTGCTTTACTTCATCCAATTCTGGTAGCATTCCAATGACAGGAGAACTAAGTACCTTGTGAAGTGTTTTATTCTGGTCATCCTTCATAACGAAGTCCTCTGAAGGCATACTATTAACTTCTTCTTGCTCAAAAACTTCAAATTCATCTTTCAGAGGAAAACAATCTGGCATGTTGCCCACAAATTTGCTTGGGCTTTTCTTAAAGGATTGGAAATAGCGGTTAAAGAGTTCTATTAGTTCTACATATCCAAAACACATGGCCAATTGAAGTGGAGTTCTTCCAGAGTCATCTGGTGCATCAACCAGAGATGGCTCACGTAGATCATTTAAAAGATATTCAAGAACTGTTGGATTGTTGTAGAAAACAGTATAGTGAAATATGGTTGCACCTTGATTGTCTCGAATATCAGTCAGGCAATCCCCATCAATCATTTCTTTGACATTTGTTACATTTCTCCAGTAGCAGGATAAATGTAAAGGTGCCTCGCCATTTCTATCTTTAACGTTTATATTTGCACCATGACTAATAAGATATTGCAGGATGGAGCTCTGTCGCATTTCAGAGACGATGTAATGTACAACTGTGCATCCAAAGATGTCTTGGCAGTTCACATGATATCCTTCTTCTATGAAACACTTTACAACTTTTACATGCCTGTATTTCTCTTCTTCATCGCAATCTAAGTTGCAGTCTGTGAAACGCATCATATGCAAAGGTGTCATTCCTAAGCAGTTCTGCTGGTTTACTGAGAGTCCGGATCTGATAAGAAATTGTATAGTTTCCAAGCTAACACCATACTCTACCGCCCGGTGTAGCAGGGTTTCACCTCTTGAGGACAGCGCAGTGGTTAGATCAACCCCCAGATCAACAAGAACTTGAAGTGTCTCTATAGCATAAGGTTGAAACAGCTGGACTTGGCCAAGTAGCTCGTATGTGCCATTATGCATGCGGTCACATTTTTGAAGTGAAAATCCCCAGTCTACAAAAGCCTTGCAGGCTTTCTTGTTAGAAAGCGCTAAAGCTTCTTCAAATGGCAGCTGTCCATAACAGTTTCTAATCAGCATATCAGCACCATATTTCAACAAAACGTGCACCATTTGGTAGGAGTCTTCATTCAAGTGGTTAACGTAGTGTATGGGTGTCGTCTCCCTACGATCCTTCTCATTGGGGTCTGCTCCATGCTTCAGCAAGCTCTCCACTGTGTTCACGTCACCACGTCGCACTGCACGGTGAAGAGGAAATTCCTCAACCCCCGAGCTCGAGGTGGCATCCTCGCATGTAACTACAAAGCTATTATTCCTTTTGATGAATCGAACCGCGCCTTCTCTTTGACTGACAATCATTATTCTCAGACTATGAACGACTTAAAACCGCCTAAGGTTTCACTTTTGTAGAGAAAGTACTAACAATACCTCAGTTTATAACCGCTCTGAAATCTGAGACGAACAATCCACTTCCTGGTTGTCCGCCATATTTGAATTCAGAACGAGTGTCTGTTTCGGCGGTTTTGGCGCGGCATCCTGGGCGCGGTAGATTTCGCGCACAAGTTTAAAAAGATTATGCAATTTTATCGCGGGCTCAATGTTGATAAAAAGTTTTCTCTAATAAAGCATCGTAAAATGGTTTGATTTCGCGGACCTGAACGGTTTTCAATCAAGAATGAGCGAAAAGCCGAAAAGAGGAAGGAAAATTTGCTATAAGCTATAGAAATGTCGCTTTTTATCTACAGTATGCGAGACTGCATGGATGAGTTATGGAAAAACAGCCTTGGTTGCTTTGGAAACAGCTGTGGGTAACTACAAGCTTATTTATAAGTGGAGCGATTGAACGATGGTTAGCAAGCGATTTTGAATATTAATATCAGAAACCAACAATCCAGCAGCTGTGCTCAGAGGGCTTACACTCTAGATCTAGTGTCATAATAACTTGTTTGTACCAACTCTTTGATAAGTTTTGTGACCAAGATTATCAAATAATGATGATGATGATGATAATTCAATAGTAATTTTAATATACAAAAGGAGTTAAATTTTTTTTTTCCAAAAAAAAAAAGAAAATCTGAGTCTTTTCACACATTCTTTAAAAAAAGCTCTAAATGTTTCTTAGACTTATTAATTAACATAGAAGAAGAAGAAAAGGAAGTCATGGTTGTTGTATTCGTCAAAACAAATACCCAGTTCAAAATGGTGAATACAACTACCATGATTCCTCGCAGACACATCTCACAGAGGGAATGGGACACTGAGAGTCAAAAGTAATCAGGCAATTACTTTGGTTTTTGTTTTCGTTTTGGTTTCACTTTGGCTAGAGATTGGCTGAGTAGTCTAATTGGTAAGTAACTGGTTTGGTTTCGTTTTTACGACACTCAATTCAAAACTGCTCTTGGGACAATTTGTGTTGCTTTTCCCATTATGTAACAAGGCAACCAATAAATTTGTTTTCTAAACAAGCATAAAAATAGAACTCAAATCCCAGTGTAAGCAAATTCCATTGTACACTGCTGTATAAACTGTGTAATATTTTAACCTTTGCTCTACCCTGGAGAAACTGTTCCAAATTTAATCCTTCTGTACATTCAAAATTAAAGGCAAATGAAAATGGCAAAACAATAACTGACTTTTTATTCATTATCAGCATTAATTTAATACCATAAATCTGCAATAACAAAATCTATTATAAATTGTGTCAATTTGTTTCCCTGTAGAAGCTCATTCTCCCTGAAATAATGTCTAACCATGAAAGGATATGCACTGAATTGTTAAATAATCCTAAGTTGATAGCTGGCATCTCAAAATTTTCATAACATTTTTCAAGTCAGTCACAGTGATAAAAAGTGTTCATTTTTTTTCCCTTAGACATGCTAGTTTCATTCTAACAATTCTACTTGTCTTTGCCAAGAAACACTTGACACTGCCACGAACAATGACGAAACCAAAACTTTTTTGCATGCTTTTTCATTGGCCGAGTGCAATGTTCCCTTCTAAGTTGCTGCTTGTTTCACAGTTTGGGAATATTGAACATAAATACAACTTATATCAGTAAGTAAAACACGTGACCCCCATCTGTCTGTGTGATATTGAGGAAGTAGAGTGATTAAAGCATTTTCTTGCAAGGTAATCATGCTTTCTCCAGTTTCTCAAGGGAAATTGTTTTTGCTACACGAGTCATTAGCAACCTTCCAAGGATGCTGAGAGATACGAGAGATGCAACCACCACCATCCATGCCAAATCTGTAACAACTGTCGCAAAAATCAGTGAATTGTCAACTTTAAATTTCTATCTGAAAGAACCTAGTAAATCTCTGGAGAGAGACTCCAGTCTTTTCTTTCCTTAGCCTCCCAATAGCCACCTTTGTACACATGTACAGAAGTATCCGTGACTTCATCCATGACATTTTCAAACCAAGCTGGCTTGTAACCTTCATAAACTATGCCCGCTGTTTGAGCTTCCAAGGCTTCAGCCTCACGTTTCCGTCTCCTTGTTCTTTGCATTTCCTCCAATTTCTGTTTTTCTTGATTAGCTTCGTCCCATTTACAATTTTCCATAAGACGCTGGTCTGGTCTTCTCCGCGAGTCAGTTGGGGCCACGCTTTCATCATGCTGATTAAGCGCAAGGGCAAACTCCGTGAAGTAATACATTTTCTCACAGCCAGGCCTAAAGAAAACAATTTTATAACGAAAATGATAAATACAAGATTTTGTTATGATATCACTATGTACTTTTTTAGGCCAGAGTCAAAGATTCAAGCACATAACGAGAGATGTCTGGGACTGTACTAAACTTTGTGAGTGAGAGTTTTGGCAGTGAAGTTAACAACAGAGACACTGTCACAATCCTCAGTGAAGTATTGAACTGGCTACAGAGTCTGACTTCTTAAGGCCAAACTTCAAAATCACTAGTTCCCAATACACTATTCACCATTCATTCTATAAAATTCTCTTTAGAAAAAAATTACATGTATTTCACTAAGCCCTTGGGCTTAGTGAAACAAAATTTGCTTTGATTTGTAGCTTTCAAAAGGTGATTCAGAGGTTTGCATTTATAGGTCGTAAAAAATTTGACCATTCATTTCATTTCAAAATCCTTGGTATAGTGTGATAGCCAGGTCTGAAAGCTTTAACTGATATGGGGGTTTAAGTATCTACACTTTAAACCAGACACGCTACATCGCCTGGACGTGAGACACCTCTAAAGGTGTTCTAAAGGTATACGGTAACCTTAAAAGTAAATCTAACCAAACTTACAGTGCTGGATTTTTCATCCATAAAGTGACTGGAGGTAGAGTCTGGGCCTGGCTCTTGTGAGGAGTGGATGGGGGCTGCTTCACACTGGAAGGTGACCTAGTGTACATAACTTTAGCTCCATCTAACTTGTTGTCCCAGGTTCCTGAGATCACATATCTGACAACCTTTGAGGAGTCCGTGACTACTCCTGTCACCTATAAGAGAAATGGTCTACATTAACACTGTTTTATAGTCCAACTCTGAGTCAACATAAATAAGATTGGACTCAAGTGGATCAAATGGTCCACTTTTGAGTACTGATTAGAGTCACTGTGTTGTATTTTTGGGCAAGACTGACAACTCTAACAGATACTTCTATAAACCCAGAGCTCAATATGGTTCAAAGGGTGGGGGGGGGGGGGGGATAACACTATTGACCAGACAAAATGTAAATTGGTACATGCTACATTTGTCTACCTTTCTAGGTGTGTCTCGTCCAAAGTAATTGTAAGCATCATATTTAAGGTGGCAAACATCTTTTGTTGTGTGGTTTTCAATGTCCATCTCACCTGACTGTGGTAAACAAACAACCAAAGCACACAAAAATTATTATTTAGAATGTATAACTATTCCAATTTCACATAAGCAAGGTTTTTGAAGTTCAGGTTCAAGACTTTCTGGAGGAAGAATTTCAAGATACAGCAAATCCTGTCATCCACCAACATTTTTCATACAAATCTCCTTAATCTATAAACTGTCAACCACCATAAACATTTCCTGTAAGTTATCAATGGTCTCAAAAGTGGTAAAGTTCATAATATCTTTGAGTTCTTTCCATTACTGGCATTCACTTACATGTAGTACCACAATATTTCACAACAGGGATATGCAAAGGGCCAATTTGCACAGCTACTGTGTAATAAGCACAATGACAAACAACAAAGATCTCTGATCTGACCTGATCAATCCAAAGCTTGCCAACAATGATGTTATGGACTGTAGTGGTGACTTTTTTCCAGGTGTAATGATTACCAGACTTATTGAACTTTAGGTGCGCCACGCCGTGTGGGATAACTTGGAGATACTTGCCACGGAATTTACTGGTGCAGGTGAATTCCTGCCAGAAGATCCAGTCCTTATGCTCAACATGAAGGGCTGATGCAGGTGGATGGTGGCTCACCTGCAAATCATTGGACACATTGTTACTAACATTAATATCATGGGTGACAAATTACTCCTTAATTTTGGTGCGAAATTTCAGCATCAATTCATAATTTCACCATTTGATGACACATACGAAACATCCCACCTAGGTACCAGATTTAGAACATTATCAACAAAAATGTGTGTTAGGCAAATGGTTACAATTTTTCAATGCCCAGCACTGTATAACAGACAGGGCAGGGAAGAAACCCTTTGAGTCATTTCTGTAGGGCTTAGCTTCACAAAAACCTTGTGAGTTCTCAGGAACCCACTGTAAAATTTGTGAAAGGATATACCTGTAAGTAACCAAATCATAAATAACAGGAGCAAAACCTACATTTAGGTACAGCATAATTACTTAAAATTCCAAGTCCCAGTTTACCTGCTCAGCAAGTGACCGCCACCCTAAATCTTCTGTTCGGTCAAATTCAAATGTTTCTCCAAGTAATGGGTTAAATGGCTTCCCAGTTCTTGTGGAAGTTGTTGAGTAGGAGGAAGTTGTAAATGCCGCAACATAGCACATTTGTTCAGTGGATGTCTCACAAGCAGCTGCTTTGTCTAAAAGTTCAGAGTACTCCAACTCTTCTGTAAGTCTTTGAAGCATAGAGATGGGCTCGTTGAAATTAACCTACAATGTACGAGGGTAAATCACACAAAAAGGTTACTTTGATGATGAACAAGAGCTTAAAATATACGTTCTCTAGGAGGTAAGGCTCAAGCTTTCATAATAGCCACAACCCCAAAGCTTTAGATCAAATCAAAATTCAAAGCTATAGGCAAAGTGAGATGGATTCAATCTCAGACATAGTTATCACATGAAATGACCAAAACTTATGGAGCCCTGTTAATGGGCCAGTATTTGGAGAGCTACCAATAAAATTTCAATGATATTTTGGCTTCAACTGCAAGGATTTCCAACAGATTGTACTAAATTCTTGGACTGAACTAGTTATCATAGTAACAAAACCAATTTAACAACCCAAACAGCGACAGTCAAAAATTCTCAAAATTCTCCAGAATTGAAGTACAACCATACAACCAAGTATTACTCATGTATTACTCGACAGGCGTCATTTAAATATAACAGTCTTAGGTTTGGTCTGCATCCATAAGATGTATCACACAAAGTTAATGTTTAGTAGCTTTGACTTGAATGCTGAAAACGTTATGCATTCAAAAACCTCAAAGAATGCAGCTACTCACAGGCATAGGTATTTTAGATAACTCTTTTCCTATACAATTCTTGAGAATACTCCAAAGGTTTATGCTTATGTCTGGTTTGTCTGGTATCTTCTTTCTGTAGTGCTTTGTCACAAGCCTGTCTGTAGATTGCTAAAGAAAACGAAATAGTTAACATCAGTTAGTAATCACCAGAAAATCATTAAGTACACTAGAACATGTGGTGGGGGGGAGGAAATGGGAGGGACTTGTGTGGTGTGATGAAAAAGAATGTATAATGGTACCTGAATGACATCAATGTTTTCTCCAGAATTCCAAATTGCTATATTTACCTGAGCAACATATGTAATCACCTTACGTAGGGTCTGGGTTATATCACTTCATAAGCCTTGGGCTTATGACTTGGGGAGCTTAAATCCAGTGGGTCTTACTAGCAGCATTCAAAAGACAAAATAATGAAACAACTTAAAGGCTCTGATCACTTATATGCAGTTGTAAGATAGTCACTCTGATAAAACATTTTCATTTGTAGTCTGCTTGCAAACATTCTCATATTTGCCGATTTCTTTTAACAAACAGGAGTTAGTTGATGATGCAGAAAGTCAGATGGAGAGAGGGAGAACCCTTATATCCAGGGGCCTCATAATTGGAATATGTTCACATTAGCAGACAAATCCACCAGATCATAACCAGGAGATGTTAAAAGCAGGAGTGTTTATAACTGGTAGTTCTTAGGATAAGACAATGAAGAACTAATACTTACAGTCACTCCAAAGGAGCCTTCAACAGTGAAAGGTGATGTGACTACCTTCTTGGTAACAGAATTTCCATTTGTTCCGTCACCACTGGAAATTTCTGATTCTTCTTTGCCTTTCACAGATGCTGTTACATCAGTAATTTCAGCAGCAGCACTGTCTCCAGCTTCTTCCTGTTTCTTTTCTGCAGGAGCTAAGTTACTTGTATCTGATAATGTTCCTGACAATAAAGGTTTGGTACCCTCGGTATCCATACTGAAACTCTGCTCTGAACTTGAGCTTTGTAAACTCTCGTGGCTTTTGCTAACAGATAAAGTGAAGCCTTCAGGATGCTCTGCTATTGCATCAAAGAACTCTGCATTTTCTTCATCTTCATCTTCCAATTCTTCTTCATCATCATCACTGTCGCGACCCAGTTCAGTGTCTTGTGGCTCAACTAAGTTGCCAACTGTGTTTTTCCTGCAGGCTCTTTCAAGGGTATTGTGCTGTTTAGCTAATGCTTCTACTGTCTCTTCAAGAGTCACTCTTCTTTGCCGCTCATACTGTAGAGCCTTTTGCCATCTTTTTTCTTGTGTCTGAGCAAGTTCCAAGAATTCTGCGCACGCCTTCAGATAAAACAAATGGTGAGCAATTCTTATCATTAATATTTTAAAGAATCTGGGAGCAAAAAGATGCATTACCATTACATATTTACAGTATTTTATCTTGAAATCAACCCCTGATATAAAATAGCACTTAAACTACCCTTAACACTGGAACATTAAATCAATGCTTCTGCATAAAAGACAATGAAATTGTGACACAAACTTGCCAGAATTATCCTGCTCAAGTGACATTTGATTATGGACTAAACAACAGTTTGAATGTACTTTTTTCAACCAGGCAATACAGACAAAATTTAAAGAAGTTTTAAAACTGGGACTTGAAGTGTAGTCCATTTGCCTAGAGTGAAACATTGCTATCAAGAAAAGCCCAGTGAAAGCAGGAATACCAGTCTCATAAATGCCTGCAGCTTACATGATTCACAGATAGCTCTAGGGAAGGTGAAATTTCCCAATAGCATGATGTCTTGATTTAATCTTAGTCATGGATTCAGACAGTGGTCTGTCTGCAAGGACCCACATTTAGTAGAGAGTACAGTTTGAAACCTGAATTAAATTTAAATTTTCTCTTTCCAGGGTCCTTTACTATTGTTTTGTTTTTTGTTTTTGCTATCATGCCCAGTTTCCCCTCCCNCCCGCCCACCCCAGTCAATGTTGGTATGCAGAACTCTGACCCAAGTGAAAATCACAACATAAAAAAGAGGAGTGGAGGAGGACTAGAATACCACATAAAATTGATAATAATCAGGAATTCCAAATTTGTTATTTTCAGACAATACCATAATATTATGCTGGAACTGTCTCAATTACTTTTGTTGCCGATCGTAGGCTCATCAAAAACTTTCTGATACATTCTCCCTCCACTCCAACAAAACATTCAAAGGAATATGTTTTTGGACTTAAAAAACTGCCTAGTCTCACTTACACTTATCATGGCATTTGCTGTTATCCGAAAAAGAGTGGCCTTCTCGTTCACAAACTTGAGCTTTCCAAACAAAGTGGGATTATCTTCCACCTCCTGAAGCTCAACAATAGAACGCTGCAAGGCTGAGCCATGTTTGCCTACAAGATCATTGCAAGTCTGTAAATCATCAAGTTTGGCATTCAGTGGTTTGATGTTCTCCGCTTTGTCATTGTTTGAATCATCTTCTTCATCTACAAAAAAATAACATGTTTTTCCCATGAGATAAACAGATCACCACAACAAATACAACTGGGTGCACAGAGAATGAGATAATGTTCTTCCAGATTACAGAATCACAGATTACAGGACTGACCAACAATCAACCCAGTGCAAGGGATCGTTTACAAAGTGAGCTGGGATGACTGTGCATTCACCCATGTCACAGAAAGCAAGCGCTGGTGAAGCTCACGTGGGGCCGAGCATGATCCAGGCTGCACAAACAACAGCAATTCACTGACTAAACAGCATGCTGAGTCAACAGATCAAGACATCCACTCACGAGATGCCCAGATCCTTGAACTAGTGTTAACAACTACCACAAGAGGCTTTTCTTCGAGTCATGGCACTCAACTGCTGTCAACAAGAGGAAAACTGCTCCCCCCACTTACTTACAGTTGATTTAAATAATCAATAAAATGACAGCAAGCAGGGTTGTAGCACGAGCAATAACAAACTTTGATATTGCAACTCTGACGAATGCTGTTGGCTTTTAGTGGAAAACATATATCATAATCTGTTGATAATGTTCAGCTTGCAACACTGGTCATGCCATACTTTAAGACCAATTAATACACAAGAATTCTATCTAATACAAACTGCATGCAGATGAAACACTGATATCTACACTTAATTCCCAGTAAGAAAATGTACGGGTAACAGAAAAAGCCATGAAATGGACTCTGGCAGGGAAGGGGAAAAGAGGACGACCAGAACTGACGTGGAGAAGATCAGTGGAAAAAGAACTGAGGGACGCTGGCTGGACCAAACGATGGACAGCTGATAGGCAGCATGGGAATGCATTGGCAATGACCTCATGTGCCACTTAGGCATGAAGAAGATTATGTATGTATGTATGTATGTATGTATGTACTCAAGGACGAAACAGAAAAGTTTAAGTTAGATTCTAACATGAAGTGATGTATTGTTGAGAGAAAATATATGCCACTCAATATTTTAGTCTGGCTTATCTGGCCAAGTTACCTATGAGTGATGTTCAAGTACCACATTAGTAATATGCAGCTGTGCTAAGTAAACAGAACAATAATTATTATTAATGGCATTCACCACATAAAAATATTGAAACAATGTTACAACAGGTACAGTACAGCAACATTACAACTCTGTTCAACAGTAATGAGTCTTAGTTGTTGAATAACTGGGTAGAGGAGAATTGAAAACAAATGGAGAAATGAGCACAACTCCCAATGAAATATCAGTACCATTTGGAGGTAAAACCAGACCTGTATGTAATAGTAATTGGACCTAGAGGAGTAAAATTCAGGGAGTAATCACGTAAGTAATTTCAAAATCAGAAGAACACGAAGCGCAAGGCCAATTTGAAATTATGAGCACGATTACTACCTGAATTGTATGACATGAGGTCCAAATACTAATTAATCATATCAAAAACCAATTTCAGAATTAAAAATGTTTTTTGAGACCTTTTTTTGAGCGAAAAAGTTTGTAGCGCTTTCTATAAGTTTTGAAAATTGTAGGAAACATTGTGAAGGAAGCCATTTAAGCGTGCATAATTATTGATGTGCGAATCATGTGGGCATCCAATTACAGGTACATGTATCCAATTACAAAAAGTTCAGATTGGATACCTGTAATTGGACACTCATGTGATCATGTGCTGATCACGTGACAAATAGGCACGCGGAGAACCTATCACAATCGAGAATTTTGTTATAGATACAATTAGTTACAAGAGTTTACAGATGGAAATAATTACCTGGCATCTATTCTACTACTCTGTTGCAAATACAGTAAAAACATTTGATACATTAATTTCTTCAAAAAAATAGTTATAAGCAAAAGATGTGATAAAAAGAGTCAAAGTGGTATCCGCATTAATTGGTTAAACAAAGGAATATAAGGCCCTGCATCACACCATGCCAGAGGAATTTGAAAATGGAGGTTTCACTCAGAAAACACATCAAATATTTTCTGTCCACACTACGGTGGAGGAAGTTATAAATGAAACAATCAATGGTCATTTTGGATTTGTGTTTGAGGAAAACATGGTCAGGGAAGTCACATCATTATCATGGGCCACTATTTTGGAAAAACTCCATTCTCAAGATGTTTTCCATTCACACAGATACCAAAAGCTGCATTGTCAAATACCTCCAGAGTGTGTTCAAAAACAGCTCTGTTTTTGTGATAGATTAGTGTGGACAGTAGGCTTTACTGTAGAAATAAAGCTGCTGCATTTTCAAATTTCTCATGCATAGTGTGGATGCTGCCTAAATCACCAGGTCGCCAATGGTAGAACTCTACATGTACAAATTTATAACAAACTGATATCGGACCTGTATGACTGAAAGCAAATCTGCAGCACAATAATATGAATGTAGACTTAAGATAAGATAATGGTTTGTGGAATACAAAATTGAGATAAAAGGAACAGTGTATCTCAGAAATAAGAGATCTGTGGCATTACTTGAAGATTAAGGATGTCTCCAATGTAAATTTTCCAACTGTACACTAACCTCTGTGTTAAAAACAAGTGGGTTTAAGTCAAAAATAATTCCCATAACACTTTGGAATAACATTATGTACAGTACAGGGTCAATCATTTACCTATGCTGTGTTTACATGACCAAGGACAAGTAGCACAGAACATTTGCCTTGATTTAATTTTCTCTGAGGTGATTGATTTTCCATCATTAACCAAATAGTTACTTTTAGGTGACTTTTGCCTTGAAAACCTCCACAAAAACATCACAAGTACTGAAGATACTTTGAGAAAATCATCCTTTTCTGTAGTTGGAACAATCCATCATTAGGACTTTAGTGTTTCCACTTCACAAACATTTCTAAAAGCATCCAGATTTTCATGTAGCAAAATGTAATGTAAATGGACACTTCAGTACCATAATTTGATGATAAAAAATCTACAAATACCCATCAAAAATGGAACTGATTTGCTAAATACACAAGATCCATATTTACATAAATTTACATGTCTATCAATATAATACAGATCCCACATGTGGACAAAATAATCATAATAATAAAACCAGCAGCCAAAGTTGGCAAAAATAAAGACATCTCCAGATGCTATTAAGCTACTCTTAAAATATTGTGGACATGAAGCCTTTCAGAAAAAAAAAAAAAACACAAACAAGCTCTGTATTTGGTGTAAATCCAGTCCTGTTACAGGTACCTGTAGAACTGAAACCTGACATCCACATAATAAACAGAGGTGAACCAGTACAAGATGACTACCACACCAGATAGACAACCATAACAATCAGTTTAGGAACTACTCGTTCAAAATTTATGTAACCAAACTGAAAAACAACATGAAAAAGAAACAAAAAAAAAAACGCACCTTGCCCAGACAAGTTCATCTTCAACCAGAAAACAAAACAGCAAAAATTGGCAAGCAGTGATGATAAAAATAGTTGATACGTTATTCCTGACTATAGCCTAAGAGTCCACTCATTGTGAACCTACGGCTGACTTTCCAGCGTAAATCTATACATGGCTGTTGCATTTCAAGTGGCAATGGTCACTTGGCATACAGGAGCCAAACAAACATGGATAAAAGACAAGTAGATTGCTTGGATTTACAATGTGAATTCACTGATCGCTTCACAAAAACCACTTGTTTAGCAATTGCTTTCCACCATGAATTAACTGTGAATGTTTATATACAATCTTGGAGCCTTCTAGCTTCAAAACCACGACTGAGAAACCAGCCAAGAATATCTTAACCACATGAATGGCTAAACCATAAAATTCACTGCCATTGGATTATGCAAATCACTACTAACTACCCAAACATGTATGCTAATTATACCTTCCTTAATTAGATGTCACTTGGTATCCTGGGTTATTCCTATGTGCACCAAGAATTTTAGTAGAAATTTGAATAACCACTGATATATTTGATATCCAAAACATCTAAGACTGGTTTTTTCCTTAAAATTTCTGGTACCTGTAAAGAATACATCACAAGGCTTATCACCTAGGTAAATTGCTAGTATTTCATTGGATAAAGGACCTGCAGGCTATCAGTTTAGTTGCTAAGAAACCAATGGCTACCCTGAGAATGTATTACTTTCACAGTTTATGAGCTAAGTATCTAAGCTTACAACCTAAAGCCGTTTCGTATCACAAAAATATGAAATTATTCTACAAAAAGAACATGACAAAAAGAAATTCCTTTAAGATTGCTGTACAATGGTAGAGGAAATAAACAGACAAAGGTATTACTGCTTTTCTTGAGAGCAAAATTTGAAACTTTCCCACATTATTTTGATGTCAAATTACCAAATAGATTTTTATGTGGTATTAGAATTCTATTGCAGTATTGGATTTTGACACTCAAATTGTGAAAAACCAAACAAAAAAAGAGGTTTATTTGTCCAAAATGTCACAGCCATACTTATTTAACAAAACCACTGGACAAACAGCAAAGTAAATTATTGTTGTTTTTTTTTGTGCTTAGATTTTTGTACAAACCAATTTTTTTCTTAAACAGGAGTGCAATTTTGTATGAAGAGTAACTGAACTCAGACATTGCATTCCCTAAACAGGAAAGCAATTTTGTATGAAGGGTTAGTGAACTCACACCAAGTGAACCTTTAGACCAAGCAGTTCAGATTTAAATATACCTTGCTTTGACACATGTATCTAATCAAAACCAACTTCATGCTGATAATAAAGTTGGTATTCATTTGATACTTATTTTATTCCACTGTTATGAGCAAATGTTTTTAATTAATAACTTGGAATAAAATAAAAGTTCATGTTGGAAAGCAAGACTGAACTGAGCCTGCAGTCATCACTACACCCTCATAACACATGTGACGTGAGCCTTCTCAGTCAGCTCATTCTGAGGAGCCCGCAAGTTGATGGCGATCTCGCAGCAAAGTTAATCCCTCCCTCCCTCCCTCCTGCCCATTTTGTTTATCAACAGTTGACTGTTTGCTCTATTGACTTATTGTAACCTACTTTTAGACATAATCAATAAACTAAGGATGGGAAATTGCAGCCTGCAGCACCCCTTCAGTCCAGTACTAAGGCACCCAGGAAGGGGGCATTACACCGCTGGACTGGGCTAACTTGGCTCCAGGACAATACCCAGCTTACAATACAGACATGAGACATGTGCCAAGGCCCCTCATCCGGTGAGTCTTAAGACAAGTGTGTATAGCCAAACTTTGCCAGTACATTCCCTCCACATACTTTTGCCCATATATGAGGAGTCTCAGCTCTTCACTAGCTTGAAGAGCCAAGTCTCTTGTCACTTTATTGTGCACCTTATCATTAAAGCTCTATTTACCATCTTTTTAACACTTAGAGGCAGGGAGATGGAAGGGAACGCCTGCAAGCATGCCATTGTTTTCGTCATTTTTTACATCAAAAAGATGAACGTAAAAATCATGGTTGATCAGAATTAATGAAGTACTTGATCAATTGCTCTGACTGGTCTGATTGGTCAGTGATATTGGTCTCTGATTGGTCACTCAAGAACTTCATTGTATTTTCAATTACACTCCACAAGGCAGATGAGTTGAGTTGAATCGTTTTTAGCATCTTCAATAAAACACTCTAGTCATTGGAAGGAAACGGTTTCAAGACAAATTGAAAATAGCACAAAGGAAAGCAATCAGACAGCTCCTGGAAGAGAAAGATCTGCCAGACGTTTTGCAGACAAGCTATGGAAAGGTACATGTGTTGGTTGCGTAAAGAGCCGAGTTAGGAAATTTACATGTCTTCTTGTCATCATGCCACCAACCAATTTCCCAGCCCGTGATTTGGCATAAAAGCTGGACAGATTGGGGCATGTCAAAGAAGGCAAATTTGATATAATAATAATACAATTACTATAATCACGATTCTCCAATTGTAAAAGAAGGAATCTGAACAACTTGAACAAATTCGCACATGATTTCCTAGCATGTTAGTTAATATGTAAGCTTAAGATTTGTCTGGCAATTTCTATACATGTACATCACATTATTATTTTCTTTTTCAGACAACCTCTTATTGCTTTTCCATCCTTTACAATTTCCTTGTGGCAAGAAGGTGGGAAAAACAAGAAATTGGAGAACCCGAATAAGATCTGTGCCAAAGTGGTCTGATTCTAATAAGATCATTTGGACAGCCAGACATTTCACAGCTTGTGGGTTTTGCATACTTAATTAGCGGACAGAATGACAAAAGCAATGGCGTGCTTGCAGGCATTCCCTTCCCTCTCGGTTTCCCCCTCTCCCTCCCCTTTGAACATCTGTAACACAGGCTAGGTGACAGTTACGACTCACTGGTCGCCAGTGTGACCAAAAATTGACTATTTGCCACCAGATATTAAGAACTGGTCACCAGTGGGTGACTCTTGTTTTCTTACCTCAACCTTTTAATAACCTCAAAGGAAAATCAGCCTTACTTGTTGATGAAAGATACCATTTATGTGAATAGATATAACAAAACAAATCTGCGATTCTTCAATCACCAACTGGATTGCCATGTTTGCTTCAGCAGCTTTTTCACTAAGAGGCAGTGCAGGCACACTAAACAATGCACACACAGAGCCTGGTACGACTACCAACAATGTGGCAGAACAGGCAACTAAATCCACTGTGTCTGTCATCTGCTTGAAGCCTAACACAAAGCCTTAGCTTAGTGCCGAATGTGAAACTACAAGAGGAAGAAAAGGAAGCGTGGAAACGTAACTGAAGCTGCTTTCATATTGATTATTAATTTGTAAATTGTTTTTAAGAGTTCTTCCTTTAAAATTTTATTATCTATAAGCTTCTTTGTGCATTCTTTGTGAATTCTGTTGGAGATTGTGTACATCAGGAAAATATTGAAACAGAAGAAAACCAGTGAAAAAGAATGGCCACTGAAAATTACAACCAAAATTTTGGGATTAGTCAACAGTTGGCTCCTTAATAAAAAATTTAATTTCAAGCCCTGTTAAGCCTGTTATCTAATGAACCCTGATCTTGAGCTTTAATATGTTAATAACGTTGGTCTCTATTAAGCCGCCCCCACCCCCAGTTTCATTTATGACATCATAGTACAAACAAGTAAACAATTAATTATTTACTAAAAACTTAAAAGAACTCAAAGACCTTATCCTTCTTCAATTTATTGGGTTCTAGTTGGTTTTTAGTAAGCTGTGTTCTCTATTAACACCCCCAGGTCTTGAATATAATAAGCCCCCAGGGGTTACTAGAGCTTATAGGGAGGTCCTTGCCCAGGGCTTATTTCTGGATTTTGAAATACTATTCTCAAACTTATATATAATTCATCAAGTTTAAACAAAGGAAATTGTGGCCGTGACGGTGTTTGGATATCTGATCTTAGTTACCATAGATTTTTGCACTTTATTTCTCCGTTTTCTCCTCAGTTTTAGTTTCAATTGAGAAGATATATTAAGCACTCGAGACCGTGTTTGACCACATTTCCAAACAGCTTGAAATTGTCAAAAACATCGCTATGCATTGTATTTTCAACTTACTCTCTTCTCAGTGTTTGGAAATGTGGTCAAACATGGTCTTTCATGTTTGATGTATTACTTACATCTAAAATTCATTGGCGTGATCAAGTTTATAATACACACACATGATACAATCTAATTTACATTTACAGCCTTTAAATTTGCCTGAAATTATTTTTCATGACCCCCAAAATGTTTCTTCACTCATAAAGTTGCCTATACTACACAGAACTTTCATTAGAGACCACTAACTTTGTTTGAAACATCCCTCTCAGGTGACAAGTGGATATTTTATGAGGTGAGTTCATTGCAGGTGATGTAAGTTATACTTACAAATGTCACCTGAAACTCAAAAAGCGATGCAAATTACTTTATAATTTATTTCTCGTGAGCGTTTAGACCGCCGTTAATACAGATGCGTTGAGCTGGAAAATAGCACGCATCAAAGAACAAGTGTTAAAAAATAGATTGAGATAACCACATATGCTTGTACATTTGACAAAATAAAACACCCACCAACACTGAGTGCGAGCTTGATTAAAACACAGATTAACACTTGAATACGACTGAAACACATTAAAATGGGAAGTAACTTTGTGGTTAAAATTATCAATTTCTTTTCTGGCATCATTTAAATTAAGCTTACAAGCCTGATCTTGCTTTTACACACGTGCACCTTATAGAAAACATAATGCAATCAAAAAACCTTCATCAAGAGAAAAATAGACAAAAAATAGAATAGAATAGACAAACCTGACTCCAGCATTTTGATGGCCTTCGCTTTCGCCAGTTCCAGAGCTGTAACCCATCTTTGCCGCTCTACTTCCGAGCTCGCTCTCATGTAGAAAACTTGAGTCCCTCCATTAGAAATCACAAAACTACATGAATCTTCCGAGTCGATAAAAGCACCGGCAAGATTTATAGTGCCACGACAAGTGTGAGCCATCTCGGCTTGGCTTCTGAAATGCAAAAATAATTTACTTCAGAAAAAAAGACACTTGAAAGAAACTCCCAATATTCACACGATCGAGTCCGCCATGTTGAAAACAGTTCGACAATGGCAGACGTCTGAAACAAGTTTCAGCTACAGTACCTGTAATAGGACAGAAGTCCGTTCGACAGGACAAACCATCTTTTCTGATATCCTTTGATGTAATTCGTCCACTTTAGCAGCCATCCTCTAAAATGATCAGGGCAGACTTGACCGTCAGGCATACTCACATTTTCAGAGGGAATTTCCACAACAGCAAATTCTTCGCCAGCGGGGCGAGACATAGTCACGTGACACGTAGGAACCGCTACCCGCACCCGGATATTAGGAGATCTTAGTGGAAGAAATAATAGAGAAAAAAACAGTTACGGTCTTACAATCGACGCAAACTTTACCAAGCTTCTTTGCACTGCCACGAGTAGATTACAAGATGATGATCGTACGATTTGAAACAAAACATGACGCCATATTGCGTAATTGTGATGCCGCTGGCCACAAAAATTAGCACACCAGAAATCAACCCGAAGGGTTTCTTTCGTTTCCTTCCCCCAGGGGACTGGCGCGCGAGTCTAAACGTCATTATTTTTTTAGGTAGCTAAAATGTCAACAATAGGTTTGAAAAGTCTAGTCTTCGATTTTAATTAATTATAATAATGATCGCTCGCGATGTTTTCCTATAAATTGCATACGAACTGAGGAAAAATAAAAACACAGCTTGTAACTTTTAACTTTTGGCCAATCTCCCATGCCTATTCTTCTCTTGCCTCGTTTGAGACTAGCACAATCCGTGGACCATCAGTATGTGAAATTTTTTGCTTACCCAGAATGTCGAAATTCGATGGATCCATGGTCTATCACAAGGACGCTCTCTGACCGGCCTTTCCGCTCACTGCCACAGGAACAAATTATACCCATCTAAACTGCGGTGTCGCATTTTGAGATACTAAAGTCTCACCTCGGCTCGAGATGTCGATCTCATGATCAGTACAGTCGACTGAAACCGGCGCCGGAAGTGATTGGAAAATTTGCAGTAACGCTCTAACCCCGAGTCCACCGCAGAAAAAACCACAAGCTTTGAACCTCGAGCTGTGGGGGTATTTTGAAGTAGAACGAAATATAACGCCGACCCTCTCAATCGTACGTAAAATCTTAATAATCTAAATAGAGTTGACCTTCAACCAGACACTGCGTATCAAAAATTGTTCTCACAAAACTAATACCCCGGAGGCGCGCATGCAGCAATTTTAGAACAATCGGGTGTTGTGTAATTACGCATGGCGTGACCAGCTGGATTGTCACGCGTATGGATCAGCTGTCACTCACGCCGACATACATACATACAACTTTGGAGGTTGATTTCAGCTTACGATGCTACGACCAAAACAACTACTAAAACCACTGTAAGTCTCAATGAAACAGCTACAAATTTCAGCCCTTTATGGTACATTCTCCTAAACCTCTCAAGCAAAATTGAAAGTGGGGTTTATCCCATTGAGATGACGTCATGGACAAAACGCGGCATCCTTATATAGCTTAGCAACTAAGGGTAAGAAGCAGGGTAAGAAGGAAAAGTTGGATGAGCAAATCACAGTCAGTATCTGATAGCAGATTAAGGTTAAATCCATGCACAGGGTTCCAGATTGTGACTGTGTGGGTATGTATGTTTTCATTGCTAAATAAACAAGAGTTATTCGATACAGTTAATATTGGATGTCAGCTATTTAAACTATGCTAGACTATCGACGTTTAGTTCATCTAAGGTCGTAAACTGGTAGCCGAAAGCCAAAGTATGCTTATTTAAAAATAATGATACTTGACGTCCTGAACATTTGACACATTCAACCGATTGCATCAACCAATTACATCTGCAATTGTACTAAAATTTTGTAAACATTTCTCAGGGTTCTGCTGTTCTCGTTCTACACCATACTTGAAACGATATCCTGGAACTTGCAAAACTTGCTAAACTTGTTCGTCTGCATTTTAGGAATGACTTGCAACGCTGAATACTAGAAAGCTCTCAAGTTGTAATTAACTCAGCATTACAAAAACATATTATGGTGCATTTAGTCACCTCATTACCCTGTCCGTCCCGAGTTATTTTGGATCACCGGAAGAGATAAATGATATAAATCGAAGATAAAATTATATAAACATCAGATTGTGTTATGACTGGTTGGTTAGTCCCACTTAATACAAGTAGTTTTATCAACTTGTGGGGTGATCAATAAGCAATTTATTTCTAGGGGGAATTTCGTTGGATGGAATCGTGACACGGTGCCCCGGGGGGGGGACTTCGCATATGAAAGGGTGGGGATGCTCGTCGGAAATTTTGAATTAAACCCCTGAAGTAGACCAATCATGTCGTGGCCCAGGATTTTTTGACCCCTAAAAGAGACCATATTTAAAACATATTAAAGGAACTCAGGCACGGTTTGCACATTTTGAAAAGTTTAGCCTAAATTTTTCAAATTCGTCGTTTGCAATCCGTGTCAATCTTCGCCATCCTTGACCATCCTTGTTCTTTTATGGTTTATTATTATCTCTTTGATCTTTTTCTACCTTAGCGAACTATTATTTTCAGGTTTCCTTCCATTCAAAGGAGATTTTGTACGTGGCCAAAAAAAAGACAAAACACCTTGACTGAGCTCCTTTAAATATAGATTTTTATATTTCTTCGCGTGAAACCCTCAACGAGACCTTCACGGCTTCACATATGATGGTGTTTTGCCCAGAGCACCCTAAGTGAGACGACAATCCGAAATTTACACCCCTAAGCGAGACGACGAACATCCCCACCCCTTTCATATGCATTCCCCCCCCCGGGCACGGTGCCTTTGCAAGTGATATATCGTACCCAGAATTACCCAGAGTACAAGATTGTAACAGCCTGGAACTGAGAGGTGCAAAGGCTTTCGAATCCGATGTAAAACTCGTGGAGGCGCCATAAAAAATACATATATAATATATAAATAATTGGCTGCTTCATTTCTTTGGTCTTACTTTTCCCTAAAAGTGATTTTCTTGCTTATCCAGTCATTTAATGCGTTGAAAGTCAGATGTCCGGTAGGGCGTTTATTCCTTCGTAAGTCTGAGAGGGAAGTTAATTGAGTTTAACTTTTATCGATGGCAAAGTCTCATTGTTGGCGAAATCAAGCGCAGCCACTCGACCAAAGTTCAAGTTTCCACCGATACTCAGATCAGATTATGATCCTAATGTGTTTACAATCCGTGAGGTCAAGAAGGCTGGATATTAGCCAAGTTCTTTTTCTGCGATCTTTACGTGCCAGGACGCAGTAGGAGATCGAGAGTAGAGGTCCTTCGTATCGGTCCATAAACACACGAAACAAGAACGAGGACAATATCCAGTCTTCTTGACCGAGCAAATTTGGTCAGTAAAGGATTGACTACGTGGCATAACGAAGAACCTTCTTGCGAGAAACAGCGAGTAATCCCGAGCGCGCACCCAATCCTACGCTCGGGTATCCAATCACAGTGCAGGATTTGCCACATCTTGCCGACACACTGAGCAAGCCAGTTACTCCACGTCACAAGACACAAATCCATGTCTGCACTTCTCATATCACCTTCAGTTTGAAGTAAAACTGTTTCTGTGGTAACAAGTTTTTGATATCAGTATTTGAAGGGAGAGAGAAAGTATCCCAGTATAGTTATGACAATAGCTGTCGAACTTGCCTTGTATAGAGAAACGGGTAACTGAACGTGCTGTTCGGTTTTTGTCATTATTTTTCGAAGACTGCTGTAATTAATTTACAGTAATTTTTGGTATTCCGGCAAACGACTATATAAACAAGATTTTTCAAACTGCATGAGCTTTGAATTGTCACAGCACTCCTCAGGAAGCAACTTAGTAACTCATTTTGAACAAATATGGGATGTAAATTTATCCATCGATTTATCTCGAGGCTTATCCATGGCATCCCTGACCGAGTTTAAATCTTTTTTTTGTTATTATAGCAGAATTCTTTCTGGTTTCGTGTTGTCCTTACTATAAGCCTTCTTAGCTAGTTTCACTGAAGCACTCGCGGCCAATTAACAGATTACACGAAAAGTCAACATTGTGGCGCACAGTCAGACGGAAATTTTTACCGACGCACTGTCAGAAAGAAAAATGCATTTCCCTCAAATCTGCTAGCCCTTATTTTTCGACGCGTGGCCTCTTACATACAGGAACCTGAACTAAATAAATAACTTCAAAATTTTTGGTGAGTTTAGGCACTGAGTGCGTCGGTTCGCCTCTTATTAGCTACGGCCCTGACGGGTGAACATAGACTTAAGTAGGTCACCTTTTTAGGTATGGAAGCTGTTTTAATTCCTCCTTGGTATTTTTCTGATCCCCATTTGGCGTTCACAAGAGATTATACCACAGTCTCTTGGCGTGCATGGATCAGCTCCAAAGTCCATAAAGTCTCGGGGAGTGAGACAATGTGCTATTTGAGCGTAGACACTCACCGTGTACTATTAAAAAGCTTAGAGTCTGAGTTTACTCCTCGCTGTATATTCAACAATTACATTATGAGCTCGAGATTTCTATGGAGTTCTAGTTGATGAGGCCGAGGGCCGAATCAAATATAGCCTCATAGAAATCGAGACCGAATAATCTAATTTTTTTTAGTAGAATTCCTTCGAACTAATGATTTACAATCATTTCTCAACGTAGTATTAAACTTCATGCTTTCACAAAATCGGGCGGCTTAAATCGTCCAGTTGTGCTAGCGTGCTCATCGGTTAATTGAAAAATTTTAGTCGCATAACGATCAGTCAGGCCTTTCTTTAGTGTCGTTGAGAATGAAATTCTAAATAGAGCAGGAAATATTCTCAGTTTCGGAAAATGAAATATTTAATAGTAGATCAAGAGCCTGTACCAGCTTATAAATTTTAGAACTAAACAAATGTCAGAAACATATCAATACATTGTATCTATGATTCTACACATTATACAAGTGGTCTACGAGTGCAGTGGAAGATTAATATTTGAAAATTCTATCAAAAATTGCACGACACCGCAACTGAGCTTCAAGCGTTTAAATGCATGTAATTAAACACTGACTTTGCGTTAACTCAGGTTTGAGAAAAAATTGGAAGAAAGAGAAAAAATATTTTACGTATTCAGTTTAGGAAAGTTAGGCATAAAGCTACAAGATCATTCGGGACCGACAGTGCTCGATCCGATCCAATGTTTGGAAAATATTGGACCAACAACAGGTCAACCTAAGATA